ATGATGCCCAAAGATGTTGCGGAATAATAAGAAGGATCTGTAGGCAGAAGAAAGTACACCAGACCTGGAAGAACTTAAGCTCATTACCATCATAAGAGAAAATCAGAATAGACAAAAACTGCTGATAAAACACATAAAAAACACAGCAATACACATACAAAAACAACAATGCATTGAAACCAGGCTAAGAGAACGGCTAGCACACAATAACTAAAACAAACGAAAAAACAGGATAACCTGACAGCGTGCATGGCACACTCTTAAATGGGGGGTAAGAACAATCCAATAGAGCAAAAATCGCCGGATCTTGAAAATCAGGATCAGGTAGCATGTTCTAGAAGATGGGCATCTCCACCTATGTTAGAGAGCCGTAAAAAAAATCAGCGAGATGCCCAGTCCATATGGATCTTCCTTGCTTGTTGAGGCTGGGACGTTGGAGTCGGCATGGTTATAGGTATATTCCAGGAATGCAGAATTCGAACACCGTCAGCTGGGGTCAGTATAGGAATCATTTTGTTGAGATGAGAGACCAGGAGCTTCGTCGGGAATCCCCATTTGTAGGAAATCTGACGATCACGAAGTGCCTTGGAGATTGGGGCAAATTACTTGCGCTTTTGAGCAGCTGCAGCCGAGCTGTCAGATTACACATACAAAAACAACAATGCATTGAAACCAGGCTAAGAGAACGGCTAGCACACAATAACTAAAACAAACGAAAAAACAGGATAACCTGACAGCGTGCATGGCACACTCTTAAATGGGGGGTAAGAACAATCCAATAGAGCAAAAATCGCCGGATCTTGAAAATCAGGATCAGGTAGCATGTTCTAGAAGATGGGCATCTCCACCTATGTTAGAGAGCCGTAAAAAAAATCAGCGAGATGCCCAGTCCATATGGATCTTCCTTGCTTGTTGAGGCTGGGACGTTGGAGTCGGCATGGTTATAGGTATATTCCAGGAATGCAGAATTCGAACACCGTCAGCTGGGGTCAGTATAGGAATCATTTTGTTGAGATGAGAGACCAGGAGCTTCGTCGGGAATCCCCATTTGTAGGAAATCTGACGATCACGAAGTGCCTTGGAGATTGGGGCAAATTCCTTGCGCTTTTGAGCAGATGCAGCCGAGATGTCAGCATACAGCGCAATATGTGTAAATGGTTCTGGTAGAGCAGGAGCTTGTTTAGCAGCAAACATGAGTCTTTCTTTGGTATGAAAAAAGTGGATTCTCGCAATTACATCTCTGGGCACAGACGCCGGTAGATGGTTGGGCTTATGCAGCCTGTGGGCGCGATCAATTAGCGTATCAGGGCCTGAGCTGTTAGGAAGTAAGGTATGAATAAACTTTTGAAGATAGACAGGCAGCTCCGTGGGGCCCACAGATTCAGGGATCCCTCTAAATTTAATATTGTTGCGTCTGGATCTATCCTCTAAATCAGTAATTTTTTCCTGTAATTTCTGAATTATATGATCCTGATCAGAATAGACATCCACAAGGTCATTATGAGCAGAGGCATAGTCATTAATAAGCGATTCCACTTTGTCAGTACCAGTACCCAGTTCAGATATTTGGGATTGCAATCCAGAAAGAGAGGACTGGATGTCCTGCTGAAATTCTGATCTTAGTGACATTAACACATTTTTAAGGTAATTCTCAGAGGCTGGGGTGTTAGTAGCAGGAAGATCCTGTAACGGTGTAATGGCTGGGCTGGCTGGACCGGATGCTGTAGATTGTCTTTTATTCCCTGGTGCTTTATTGTGAGGAGAACCTAATGGTGAGCTGGCAGGTCTCTTAGAGAAATCCTGCATACGATTTCTATCATTGCTGCAGTTCTCCTCCATGTCAGAGTCAGTGCTGCAGGGAGGAGGAGTGATAGGAGTGACAGGGGGCGATGTGACGCACTTCCCTCCGGCGCCATTTTGGCTTTTTGTTTGTCCAGGCCTTGGATAGAAATCAGTCAGTTTCTGAGTGCCTTTGGACTTATTTTTATCCTTGGACATCGCAGTATCCATTCCGAAGCTTATCGGTAATATACCTGCAGGTGAACGATCCTGTAGATGGGGTAAGTCGCGGTTTTTATTAGATCCGGCGGCGCTGATCACAGATCAAGCGGCCATACAATCGCGCGGCCAGACCACGCCCCCAGAGATACAGATTTAAAAGGAAGAGCAGCAAAGAGAAGGGAAACAACCATGGATTACAGTAAGGCACACATTACAGTATTGTTTTATGTTAAAAAATCTGAGGGTTTAATGTCACTTTAAGTACAAACCTAAAGTCTCTATCTTGTATGTAACCCGGGGACTGCCTGTATGACAAATTTAAAGTTAAAAAACTTCTGCAGAAATGTAAAATGCTTCATAAAAGTGGAAAGGAGTATATATGAGGTTCTATACAACATTGTTGAGAACTGTTGCTATGGAACATGCCCCAGTTGTTGTAATTTGTAATTTTTGGATGATGAGAATGAGAAGCATCTATTATAGTTAGCAAGGATGATATTACGACATTTCCTGAGGACATTGATATTTGTTGTGGGATTTAGAGGTATGGAACGTTAGTGTGTCGAAGAGAATGGCACTCACTCAGGGCCCCGTGTGTTCCTGAGGAAAGTATACAGTGTTGGGATGTTTTGTGGTAAAAAGTGTTTTTTTATCTGGTCCCTTCAATACCAAACTTGAGTATTTGTTATTGTCAATGGGGAATGATGCTATTTCACACTAAAATATATGTATTGCGTGTAAGCAATATACTGTATAGTGTGTGTTCAATTGTGGAAGACGTGTTAACTGATTTATAACTATATCTTTAGAAAAGGTTATTTGGAACATAAATAGTTCTATCTATGTTGAATGTTAGAGGGATGGGGAATGCCACTAAACACTTGTTTCACTTATTGAAACAATACCAGCCAGCTATAATGTTTTGCAAGAAAAACATGTTGTGGCAGATATGGTATAAGGATAAGAATTATCTCAGGGTATACATTCTTATTTTTCCACATATTCATGTGGTGTTAGTATACTTATAAAAAGGCTAGTGCAGTTACTGTATTCAAGAAGAGGTGGATTAGGGCTGATATATGTAGAGATGACCCACTAAGGAGCGGTGACATGCAGTACGTTCCATGCTGGGTGAGGCGTTCCCCCTGCCCGCCCTGGCTTCGCCCCTAGTCCGACTCCTGTCCGAGTCCTCCCCTGCCTCCCCTAACCGCACGTCCCTGCTAAGGAACCTGTGAGTTGGGCACTTGCATTTTTTTTTTCTGGTGCACTTGCTGACTGCTGGCCCAAATCACTCACGGACCCACCAGTGACAACCCAATGACCAACATCCCCTTTGTCAATCTTTGCTTGAGGGCTTTATTGGTTCAAAGTCAAGGGGAATAAGGGTTAGGGGTTGCAGGATACCAAATACATAGCAGTGATACATTCCCTCTGCTTTGAAATATATTCAGCTCTTCTCACTGGCTAGTAGTGTGCCTTTAAGTTGAGGCGGACAATTTTCTATTGTGTGCCTTTAAGTGGAAACCGTCAATGTACTGAATAACTGATTCCTGAAGCTGCTTCTGTTTACCAGCCAACTTCCCATCTTCCAGGCCCCAGCCTAAGTCCCTTCCCAATTCTTGGGACCAGACCCTGGAACTGTTCCATTTCCAAGCAGTAGGCCTATACTCTTTCAACCCTCTCCAGGCAGCATGGAGGCAAAGGCAGAATATCTTTCACTAGCATCCTCTCCAGGCAAAGACCCTTTTAGAGGGGCTCCCTGAGTGTTTATCTCATTCCCCAGCCCACATCATCCTTATAGTGACTGGCCAATTAAAATGAATATTCATAATTCTGAATGTTTCTTCTTGCTCTACCTATGGAGAACACTCTCCAGCAATAGGCAGAAGAAATGTTCTGAGCTAAGGGAAAAATAAATGCTGAAAACAATAACAGAAAAGGTTGGCTACTAAATTTTGATTAGTGTCACTCCAACTGGCAGGACCTCTACATATTTTTATATGCATTTATATATGGTTCACTGTATTGCACTACGTGTATAATCTGTAATATCAATATTTGGCATTTAGATCTTCAAACACTATACCATTAACTCAAAAGATTGAATATATGACTAGGGGAATATCTTAACACTCTCTATTGGTAGTGCAATTTAAAATAAATAATGGAGATACTTTTCTTCCTTGGAGAATAAATATTATAGGTTGTGTTCCTGAAGTCCTCCTATTCATTCTGATCTTGATGATTTTTTGGGGGTGGAATTTCTCTTGGTAGTCTGGGATGCCTTGAAAGTGGATTCCCGGAGGCTACAATTGAAACAAATCTCTGTTAAAGCAAAGATGAAAGAATGGGGGAGGAATATGATGATGATACAAAGAAACAGAGTGAAAGAGAGGAATATATTAATAATCCTTCTACTATTTCGAAGGATCTAGTGAAAAAGATTAAATGGAAGAAGGTCAATTTTATTTTTCAAAATATCATTATTTTGAAAAGGTAGATATAGGGCATTTATTAGGACTATAGCACAGTTTTAGCAGCCATCTGCATACAGATAAATAAAATGAACATAGCTTCTGCTACCACTGATATAGTATATTATACCGATTTTATAGTAATTTATATGCCTCAATAAGGACACTTTCAGATGAGCAACTAGGTAATTATTTAGAACTGATTATGTTTCCTGTTATAGAGGTGGGGAATATAGATTTCTTAGATTCCCCTTATACTTTGGAAGAGCATTGGCTTCCAGAAATTAATGCTCTGGGTTAGATGGCCTTACAGCAGAGGTTTGAGACTTATAAAGAAATACTTTTGCCATAATTATTGTGTACTATTAATGTATATTTTGAGCTCAGTTTGTCACCAGCCTCTATGTATGAGGTGGCTATTTTAGAACCTGGTAAGGATACAACATATCCAGATTCATGTTCACCGATATCCTTGCTTGCAGCAGATGGTAAATTATTAGTGAAAATGTTCAGGCATTTTCGCGCATGCGCACCTGCAACCCTGGCGCCAGGAGTTCTGCCAGGCCGAAGGAGGACCCATGCCCGGTAACGTACCTGCTGGCCCCGAGGAATGGTGACACCCCTTGTCCCCTGACACCAGGTCTTGATGACATAACTTCTAAGAATGCAAACAGGAGTTACTTCATCTCTGCAAGAATCCTGCCAAGTCTGTGCACTAAGCTGCAAATGCACAGCTCGGTGTACGGTGACTTACACAGTCTCTTCAGTCATAAAAAGCCTGCCTGTCAGCATTTTAAAAAATAAAACTACTTTTCCACTTTAAAATTGAGCACACTTTTCTGAATGTAGAAATTTCTTTGGATACTATACCTTCAACATAAGGGAGCTTTGCATACATTTCAAAAGATTGATGACCAAATTTGTTTTCTTTAAACCCAGAGGGATGGTATAGATTAGAATATGTAATATTTTAATGTTGGATTTAGTTTGGCATCTTTGTTTTTTTAATGTGGTTTGTTACGTATTGAGATGTTTTTTTATGCTTTGTTTTTCAGAAACATTTTTCAATAAATAAAATATGGATAATAGTTTAAAAAATGCATTCAGTTTCTTCAAGTAATGTTTGTTTTATAAATAGGAAACAGTTTCGCTGAAATGCAGTCGACCAGGCCATCCAGTTGTGGATAGGATATTTCATTTTGAAAGGTATAAATTCAGTTATAAACTTCCACATGTCTACAAGCATATTTTGCAAGTGTATGCTACAGTAAATGCTGAGCCTCCGCTCATTTGCTTATATAGGACTGACTTTCTGTTTATTTCTGCCTCTACTCAGTTGGGCTTTGTAAATTCAACTGTAATCCCCAGCTGAGGCGTAAATACCTTCTACCCAGTCAATTCCACTTGCTTCCTTTAAATGTTGAATGAGGCCAGCCTAGTTAACTTGTATAAGAGGAAATGATTGGATAGAATACCCTAAGAGAATATAGACTCTCACTGATAAACAGTCCCTGAATGGGTAGTTAGACTTCCATGTACTGATCTTCACGCACAGCAGGCTGTAGTAGTCTCTATCAAAGCAGGATTCTCATATATATATTCTGCACCAGGTGTTTGACTTTCTATCCAAGACCTATGACCAGCATGGGTTAGGTTTCAGCAGCAACAAAATCTGTTCAGCTACTGTTTTTTCAGCTCATAGACAAGGCTGCGGGATTCAAGAGGTAGGACCCCTTACAAATAACTCTTCTAGAAGGTTCCCCCAGCCTATCCCAACCCACTGGGCATTACTCCTCAGAGACAGCTGTTAAATACAGTGAGGGGAATTTATCAAAATCTGGAGCAGCTGTGCACTGCAGCCAATCAGCTTCTTTCTTTAATTTTCAAATCTTAACTGAACAAACTGAAGAGAAAAGCTGATTGGTTGCCCTGGGCAACTGCTCCAGATTGTCTCTGCTCCAGTTTTGATCAATTCCCCTCACTATGTATTATTATCCATAGCTCTATTTGAGACAACATTATTTCTCAAATAGTTAAAAAGAGGCTCACCATAGTACAGTAGCAAATGTTCTGTTTTCTGATTGATAGATATTAGTTAGATATTAGTCCTCCAATCAAGCAAAAGGGTGCCTGTTGCCAAGAGGATGAGGATGATAAGCATCAAAGGAATTTAATCTTTCAATCATTTCTCAGAGAACTTAACATAAAGGGGTATAGGTACTCCTAATGACTGGAGCACACACGCACACACAGCTTGAACTCGATGGACCTGTTTCTTTATTCAACCTCAAATGCTATGTAACTATGAATGTATCAACCAAGAAAATCACTCAGAAAATTCCTGAGTGCTGCAGGGCAGTGACGTAACAACCGGGGGTGCAGCAGGGGCGCGGGGCCCCGGGCGAAAAGTGAAGGGGGGGCGCCGGCCGAAAATGGCACTTTCGGCTAAATGCCGAAAGTGACATTTTCCTGCCGTTTTGCCGGCGCGGCTCTGCACGGTGATCTTTGGCACACTAAGCCTGTGGTGCCCTAGAGGCTCCAGTTGATATGGAAGTGGTCTCAGTTTGTATGATATATGTGTTTGATGTAATTCTCCTTCCACTTTGGATGGAAGGCACTCTAGGCCTGGCCTCTAGGCCACTATTACCACTTATTACTTATTATTATTATTACTATTACTACTACCATACCACTATTTGTCCCTCATCTACCGGCTTGCAGATAACACAAGGAAAACCTGGGGCCCAGCCATTCAAGTAAAACCTGGAAAAACATCAAAACATACCAAAAGCATTAAGCAGGGTAATAGGGAACATGATCCCTACAATAGTATGAAATAAGGACCCCTTAAGAGACAATGGTTTCACTAAATTCTAGTGGTGACCTGTAGCTGTATGTTATTGTAATTTAAATTCTAATTGCCAGAAGGTTATTCAGTTTATAAAGCAGAACTCCAGCCAAAATGTTTTGTTTTGGGTGTAGTGGGGATAGGTTAGAACCTCTGTCAGGTCTTATTGCTGTTTGTTTCACTATCAGGGAGTTTACCTCTTACTTTTTGTCATTACACATGTAAAAACACATGGCTAGTAGGGTAGGAAAGGTTAAAAGCTACTTAGCTTAAAACGCTGACATTGTTAGGTGGCCAAGCAACGAAGTTGCAAGGACACCTATTGTTATTGTTCGGATTATTACTTGGCCAAGTAACGAAGTTGCAAGGACACCTATTGTTATTGTTCTGATTATTATTATTATGAGATGGCCAAGCAACGAAGTTGCAAAAACACCTATTGTTTTTTTGTTAAGACTATTTTTTTTATTTGTTGCCGTTTCATGGACGAACACAATTTTTAACCTGGGCATGTTGGGTATCTATTTACTCGTTGTGACCTCATCTTTTATATTTTATTTTAAAAAATTGGTGCATTTAAGTACATTAAGTACATTTGGGGTTTGATAAGGAGTTGCGCTAATACTGTGCAACATAAAAAATTGCAACTGCCACCATTTTATTCTATAGGGTCCTGGCTTTCAGAAAATATATAATATTTGGGGTTTTTAAGTAATTTTCAGGCCTAAAATGTGGAATATATCATGGGTGCAAAAAAAAAAGGCCTCCAGTCATGAAGGGGTTAAACTCTGAAACCATTTATCAGAATTTTTAAAAACTTTGCACATATGTCCAGGGTGACATCTTCTACCACGGTAGTAAAAACAGGTCCGATCCCAAAATCAATATGGCCGCTGCAAGCCAATGATATTTAGATAGTGCTATTATTGTTATGGCCTATTTTTCCAAAGCCTGTAGTAAGCGCACTGTTATTTAAAATCTCATGCAACTTGGCCCAATGGTAGAGCTCTGTGCTATGACTAATTTTTTGTTTCATAAAGGTCATAGGTCACATTTCCTGGCAGCCATCTTGTTTTATATGATTATATTGAGCTAAAGATTCAAACATCTGTTTCTCAGAAACTATTACAGCTACAGATGTACAAATTGCTGTGTAAAGTTATGCTGTGATCTACACTCAGAACCAATCATTACAAGTCAATTGGTCACATGGTGCAGTGGCCATATTGAATTGTTCAAAATTCTACAAATATTCCTATTATTTTGATGCTCCTTTTTTCAAATGCTAATTATAACCACACCGTTATTTAAAAACTCAAGTACTTTTGCACAATGGTAGAGAACTGTACTGTGTTTAATCTTTGGCAACCTAAAGGTCATAGGTCACATGCTCTGGTGGCCATCTTGGTTTTAGCAAACCTATTTCTGGCAATTTGCAAACCTCTGTTTTTTCCTAACCGCTAAAGCTACAGATATACAAATTGTTATATCAGGATATGCTAAGCTCTACAGTCATATATGTTCATTACAAGTCATTTGATCACATGGTTTGGCAGCCATATTGGATTGTGCAATATTCTGCAAACAACTTCATCTCATAAACCAAATATCATAATAATTCAAAACTTTGCACAGATGTCCAGGGCTACCTCTACCAAGGCTGTAAAAACAGGTGTGATCCCAAAATCAGTATGGCCGCCACAAGCCAATCACTTTTAACATTGCATCAAATTGCATAAACGTGCATTTCCAGCACTATCAAAGTATGTTAAACTTGTTAAAGATATGATAACTCAAAATCATAACTGCCAAATACAATATGGTTTCCAAATGTCACCAAGGTCGGTGGCCATTTTGAATTTTCAAAAATATTACAATTCATGCAAACTTTGCAGTTGTACAGGTCTATAATGATAACATAACTTTGCTATTTATATCTCTAACTACATTATCTTCTCATGCGCTATAATCAGCTCTAATGCTTGGCCACCTTTATTGCTGCTTGCAGCTATATTTTTTATTTCTGTCTGTATATACATACTAAAATTCAATGGGGTTTTTTAAGGTGTCTATTAGAGAATGCAGAGGGATAAAGACAAACATATTATCACATTATAGTGGGTTTTAATTGTTGTAAACAATTTTTTAATTCCATAATCAAAATACAAGTAAAAACATATCCACTCATCTTAAAAATTACAAAGATAGACATAGTAAGGCATTGAACTTCCCTGGAACCCGTGCATATACATAGTATGCGTATTCTCACCATATTCCATTATTTAATCATAAATTTCCATAGAACAATGTCTTCATACAATTTCATAATTGGTCACATTAATCATTAAATCATTTGTAATTCTGTACTCATTCCAGCCCTCTATGCGTTTCGCAGAGGCTTCCTCAGGAAGTTTTTGGAGGCAGCCAGGTCCTCACACAGTTTTAAAGGATGAATGTGAGCATATAACTATGATACTTGTCTGTGTAAAAAGGATATAGTTCTGCTTATCTAAAGGGCTTAGGGACCCCCAGATAGTATAATAATTCCTCTTCATACCATTGGTACCGAAAAGCTTCAATCTGATTGGAAATAACTTTTGTCACAAAGAGAAATTCCAATCCATATTCACAGGGGACCCCCTTCTGACTAAGTACTGGAATCTGGAAAATGTTTGGATTTTCAAAGGGTTCTCTAGGCCTGGCAGTAGATATGACTCGTATGATCATTCTACATAGGAATTGTAGTAGATATTTTGTGCCAGGGCACGTGCAGCTGTCTGAGGTGAGGAGTCATCTGGCCTGGGAGCTTGGTAAAACTTTTCCATCCAATTCCACTCTGGCTTTTCTTTGTCTCCCTTCACAGCACACACTGGATCAAACACAACAGATTAATCTATAGGCAGTATGGAGGCAGAGACAGGGAGCTCAGTTAAAGGCAAACCATCCAAATCTGACACAACTTACCCAAAACTATCAGATGATTAATTCTGATAGTGCAGATTATGCTCACAATTCCTTCTGTTTAGATTTAACACCAGGGTCTATCCCCACTACTTTGGAGACAGATGTCAGGGCCTCCGCACTAGTTACTAACTTCTCATCCCTACGGTTTCACTTACCTCTGCTGTGGACAAGCCTGCTGGGCTCCAAGTCTGTGTGGAATTTAAGCAGGGCTTCTTTCCTCTGAAATGAGTGTAGCCACATTTTTGGTAGGTGTACTGTAAGGTTTTAGTTCCTGTTTGTTTCCTTATTCGGGAGATTCGCTCTATCTACAGTTTGAATCAAAATTATTTAACCGCCATTGCAAATCAGATTTATTGGCAAAATTTACAGACTTTCAGCTGTTTGCAATGAACAA